ACGACGAGGACGACGAGGACGACGAAGACGACGAGGACGACGAGGACGACGAGGACGACGACGACGACGACGAGGAGGGAGGAGGAGGAAGAGGAGGAGGAGGAGGCGGAGGAGGAGGAGGAGGAGGAGGAGCAGGGAGAGGCGGGGGAGGCGGGGGAGGAGGGGGGGAAAGGGGAGGAAGAGGAGGAGGAGGAGGAGGAGGAGGACGAGGACGAGGACGAGGAGGAGGACGAGGACGACGAGGACGACGAGGACAATGAGGAGGAGGAGGGAGGAGTGAGGAGGGAGGAGGATGAGGAGGATGAGGAGGAAGAAGTAGACGAATAAGGATACTAATGCGACAAATCAGAAGATGACGAAGAAGAGGAGGAGGGAGGAGGAACAGGAGGAGGAGGAGGAGAAGGAGGAGCCTGTTACTTCACATGGCAGCTTCTTGTTCGTTGCTTGTCATGAAAGGTAATGGCCGTTCGAATGTTTTCGCGTGGGGGTTGCAAACTTGGACCTGTGCAGTCAACAAGTGCAGGTTTGCCAACAACTTCGTGTGGCGCAAAACGTGCTACTGCTGCGGTGCCTTCCGCCCGGCTGCCCGCCCCCAGCGGGACAATGGGCGCGCGACCGCCGAAGTTTCGTGGCTCAGGCGGGGGCGGAGGGCAATCCCATACGGTGGCCGAGATTGATGATACACAGGTGGAGGTGTTCGTCGCTATGGGTGATGCTCAGTTCTCTGCTCTTGCTGGCTTGCTTCCTGTGGGTGTTCGGGCCAAGGTCGCCGCTCGTCGTGCTGTGCGAAACGGTGACCTTCCGGCAGTGTCAAAAGATGCCAAGATGGAGCATGACCACCTCGAGGCGCAGGTGCAGACGTCCGAGAAGGCTCTTGAGAAGGCCCGTGGCCATCTCATGCTGCCATCGAGCGCGTCCACAAGTTGCAATGTGAGTTTGATGGGTTGCAGTCCAGGGAGCGTGATGCTGCCGAGCGGGCGGCCACGGCGTACTCTGGGCTCTCTAGGCAGCAGCAAGCTGAATGCGACGGAGCTGATCCTGCCGCCGTGCTTCGTGGTCAGCTGGCGGCGCTCGGCTGCAACCCCTTTGTGCTGCGCGACTTCGACGCCCTCATCAGTGAGCGTGGCCGGCTGGTTACGCAGAAGAAGCAGGGCGTCGACGCCAGGGCCGCGGCGGGAGGGGGTGCTCAACGTGCTGAAGATGTACCTGTCAGTGGTGCTCCTGGCACTCCTGGTGGGCAGCCGACAGCAGCCAGCCGCGATGCGACCATTTTCGTGGCACTCCGTTTCGAGGACCGCGACGGTGACTGGATCGATGAGCTCGTGTCCAAGTCCACGCGTGCCGAAGCTGACGGTGACGAGGGCGGCGACGGTGCTGCTGTCGGACCGAGCGGGCTCACCCGCAAGGCCGTGGAGGCAGCGCTGCAGGGCGCCATTGCCCGCGCGAGAAGCTGGAGGTGCAGTCAGTTTGGCAGAGCCTCTGAGCTCCGCGCCTGGTCTTTTGTCGCGTGCAATGTTACAGAGCGGGCGGGGCTTGACATTTTCCTCTCCTCCCCTCTCGCCAGCGCTGAGGCGCTGGCCCTCCACGACGCCCGCGCTGTTAACGCCGAGGCGCAGGGGGCTGCTCTTCGACGCCAGGGTCGCCGCGCCCGTTGCTTCCATGCTGTTCCCACAGGGCGTGGCGGCATGTCCGGTGATATGATCCTGCCCACTCCCAGGCACATGGGCTGTCCACGGTGTTTGATACTTCGGAGGTCCTGGAGCCTGGGCGCGTTGGCCTGTTGCATTTTGAGTGTGTGCTTTCTGGAGGCATTCTGATTGCTAGTGTCTATCTCCTCCACGCTGTGGGTCTTGCTGCTCAGAACTGTACCATCCTCAGCAAACTGGGAGGCGTCTTGAGGTCTCTTGGGGTGCCTTTCGCACAGGCAGGTGATTTTAACATGGGGCCAGGTAGGCTCGACTACAGCGGTTGGGTTGCGGCGCTCGATGCCGTCGCCATCGCTTGGTGCCCGTCGCCCTGCCGATCGAGTTATTGATTTTATCGTGGTCAGTCATGAGCTTACCGTGCATGCCTCTGCCACTGTCAGCCACGATGCGCCAGTTGCTCCTCGTTATCCTATTCAGATGTTCCTGAAGGCCCCTCGGAAGGACGTCCAGGGTCGCGGCTAAGGTGCCTAAGAGGTTCCTACGCTTATCCCCGCTGGGCCCCGCCGGCCTCACGACGAGCGCCGACGGGATTCTACTCGCGCCGCCATTGACGCCGGTGACGTGGCTGAGTCTGGGGGTTGTTTCGCTTCCGCGGCCGAGTTGGAGTTGCTTGAGGTTCGCCAAGTGGACCCCGATCTGGCTCCTGGATACTGCGGGCGCTCTGGGAGCGTCGAGTGCGCGTGGGTTTTTCCGAATCGACCTGGACCGCCCGCTTTCCCGAGGGTAAGTGCGCCGGCAACTCGGCGGCGCAACGCGTCGCAAGTGTTCCGGACTTCCCCGCAGCCTGTCGGGGCGAAGAGGTCTGCCGAGCACAAGAGGGTAGCGCGCTAGTTGCAGGCCGGCTCGCTTGGGCAGTCTAACTGCGCGACGCAGTATTGCGCGATGCTCGTTTACTTTTCACACCCAGACGCGCGTTATTTATTCATTCGCTAAGAAGGCGCTAGCAAGCGTGGCCAATGACCGAGCCCTCCCCGCGACGCGGGCGGCGGCGTCTCGCGAGACTACAGGCCGCGAGCAGCGGGTCCGCTGGCGCTCTGTCAATGGACCAGCTGCTCTATTTCAGTGCATCAAGCCGCCCGATGCGCGGCAGCCCAGCTCTCTCGTCCAGCGCGCGCCTGCCAACTCCGCGCAGGAGATCGCCCTTCTGCAGGCTGAATGGGTTTAATGGTGGCGGGTCGGGGAAGAACGCCGCCCTCTCTCTTGGCCCTCGGACCTTGGGGAACGGCCTCCGCCTGCCTCCCATAAGCATCTCGAGAAAGTCATCCTGGCGCCCCTCAGGGGGGAGGGAGCGGTTTCGACCAGTTGGCACCTCCACCTTTCCCGACGAAGCATTGTCGTTCATTCTCGAGCGCCTGGGAGGAGTCAGGCCGCTGGGTTTGCCCCGCTGCCCACGTCGCATCCAGTCAAGGCTTCGCCGAGGGACTTGGCAAGCATGGCCGCAACAGACAACATAATTGCATGCATTTCTGGTGGGCTACTCGCGGCAAGTCGGCTGAGGTCTCGGCGTGGTTTTGAGCGGCTTGGGTAGAATATCATGCGGGGGCCGACTCGGACACGGCTACGCTCCTCGTCGATTCTCGTTTGATCTCGTTTAGACGGCTTCAAAAACAGATGTCCCCCTTAGGCAGCTCAAGCTATCGGCGCAGGCCTTTTCGGGCCCCGCGCGCGTTGGAGTTGCGGGGCCTTTGCAGCAGGCGCATGCAGGTCGACCAGGCCATTCTTCCAGGCCGTTTGTACGCCACCTGTCTCTTTCAATTGATGCGCATTGGTCCTCTCGACGAGGTTCGACGAGAGTACACCGCGGCGCCCGCTGCTGTTCGCGCGGGCGACATCAGTGCGCTGAGGGGCGGAGGAACTAAGGGAGCAGAGGAGGAGTTTGCAGGAGTTGGATGCACGTTGAAGCAGGAGAGGGTTGACATGATTACTGCTCTCGATAAGTCCCGCATCCTGGCCAATTCGCCGACGCTGCAGGCTTCTTTGCAAAGGAGGCCTTTTCCTGTCAAAGTTCTGGCGGTGCACTCTGAAAAGGCATATCGGAATGGGTTGTTCGGCAGCTCGCGCCACCCGCAGACGCGCGCGCCCAGCGAGGGTCCGCGTGGCTCAGCACAAGCTCAAGACGTTACGGCATCCACGAGGCGCCAACATTCAAAAAGCAAGCGCTGCAGCGCATTGCGCGAGCAGCTATCGAGAATGCCGACACTTTTGGCACTAGCGTGCAGGGCGCCAGCATGACGGAGTTTGTCACCTTGCGCACGCTCGCGGCTGCTGCTCTCGACGCTCGTGCCTCGGGACGTTCCAGGGTCATGGCTGCATTGCCTACCCCGAGCCCACGTATGGACCCCATATACTGTGCCACGCTGGAGCTCGTCAAGGCTCTCATGCACGTCGTCTGGAGAGAGGCCACGCCGCTGCGTATTTTGGAGAAGGGCATCGCCGCTGTTGCTGCCAG